GGATTTTGTACTAACTTATTTATGTTTTTAGTTTATACAGTTTTTTATGATTGTAAGCCACCCAGAGTTACCCTGAGATAAGATGTGCAGCCTCTAAATTTAATAAACAAGCAAATAAAAACTATATTAAAACTAAATCCTTATTTTGAGTTTGGATCTCCCTCTGCTTCCACTGATTGGTTCTTGTCCTACCCGTGCAAAAATAAGTCCACCCACCCATCCTTTGATAACCCTTCAACTATTGGAAATTTGCTATCATACTCTATCTCCCCTTAGACTTCTCTAACCTGACATACCCAGTTCTTCATAGAATTTAGTGTCCAAGCCCCTCGCGATTTTTGTTACTTTTTTCTGCACTCTTCCCAATTCAGCATCCTTCTTGTATTGTGGTGAGCAGAACCAAGAGATGGGAGGCATATAAATTTAATAAATAAAATAAATTTATTTTAAGCCTCATACATTTTTCTTACAGTCAAACTATCTCAGCCCTTTTTTTTACTTGATCGATCTTGTATTCAGTTCACCTATTCATGTTTGACCCTTTATCTCGGACTCTTTTATCTTGGACTGATAGGACTTATTCAACACAGTAATACAGTAATTAAATTGAAACGAGGTTATAGAACTTTGCTTATCTTTAATCAGCAAATCAAATAGTTTCGGAGTCAGTAAGGAAATTTCTATACGAAAGTACGCTTAATACAATGCCTTGATTTCGGGGAAACCACGCGGTTTTACATAAAAGAAAGGCGCGATTCGAAGCCGGCAGGAAAGAAGTGGATGATGCGGCATCTTTAGCATGTACTATTTATTCGCTTGGCAGGCTAGCAAACTACATTTCCCAAGAATCTTTGCCCGAAATGTGTGCTGCCATTGTCACGGCCATCTTGAAATCTGAACTGCTTTTAAAAAAGATTTGGGGGTTGCAGCGTCTTTCCCACTCTTGCGACAGCCTGGGAAAAAGCGGGTAGTAGCTTGTTGGAAGGATGTGCTTTCGGGTACTGAAGTCGTCAGTAGGTCGACGGCCGATTCGGGCGGAGAGGTGTATGAGATTGAATGGAGGGGCATTTTTGAGCTAGACAGATCTGTGGGGAAGGAATTCTTTGGCTCCTCCCATCTGATGTTAGTGATGTTTCGGTTCAACTAAAACCAACCCAGCTGGGAAATAGCAACCGAGAAGACAAAAGAGGCCCCTGATGAAATGAGGGAATCCTGTCGAATTTGTGGTCGGGAACTTTGTGGCAATCAGAGGCGCTGGATCTTCCACACCGCAACTAAATTGAATTTCCAGATTTTGCTCTCGCATGTTCTGGGCAAGGAGATCTCACGGGATGGCAAAAACGAGTTTATCTGCAGCAAGTGTGCCTTTATGTTGGAGCGCATATATCGCTTTGATACTGTTATTGCGCGCATCGAAGCGCTGTCAATTGAACGGTTGCAGAAGCTGATGCTAGAAAAGGACCGCCTCAAGCTGTGTATCGCCGGAATATACAGGAAGAACAATGACGAGCCCACCGACGAGACGACGGACGTCTCCAGCCTGACGGATCTGCGCTATTCGACTCTCCTCCAAGAAGACTTCGCTTATTCAGGGTTTGAATGCTGGACAGAGCCGGAGGAATGCGTTGGAGATCCACAAGCGTGCCACGCTGCAGAAAGCCGTCCTAGGCGGTGTCGGGGTTGTGCTGTGCTGCGCGTTACTGATGCTGATTATGAGGCAATTTGCAAAATCCCACGGAAGGTGGCAAGAAATCTCTCCTGTGGATCATCCAGGTGTTCTGCCAACGTTTGCAGTGAAGAGTTATTGATATGTGAGCCAGTAATTACTGACTTGCTAAGCGTCAAGACGCCTTTGGATGAAGAAGTAGTGGAAGGGGAAACTCCCGAATTGTCCCTTGAGTCGTTGGATGGAACCGCGATCGCTGATGCATTACATCCAAAAGAGGAGGAATCGGACACAGAGGCAAAGAGAAACGCGATGTGTAACTGTATAAATGGTTGTGGAGCCCAAAGCTTCTCACTTCAGAGCAACAGATTAGAGGTAGCCCTTAATTTGGTGAAAGCTTTTGACTGCAAGCCAGTCCAGAGTCCCAGAGGGAGCAAGTTACCTATTCCTGTAAAATCAAGTTCTCATTGCCAGAACTTCGATAAAAACTCTTCTGGCTTCTCAGATGTGGTGCTGAAATCTCAACCTGGCTTTGCCTTAGCTTTTGCCTTGGAGATGTCTGATCTGCAGGAATTGTGGGAAGACTTATGTATGGATTATATTCCACTTCGAACTAAGGTAGAAGATTATTTCTTCCAATTCTGCCTTTCAGATTCTCAAATATTGTCATTCTGTACTTGTGATTCACTTTTGGCTTGAGATGCAACCTCAGGTTGCTTTCTTCATCCACTACAGTTTACCACTTGCTTTCTTCACCCATTATTGTTAGATTCTGAAAATTGCATGTTCATTTTCTGCTTTTTTTGCTTGAAGTTTTTTCTTTTAGCTTTCAGTTGTGTTTGCTTTGCAAAAGATTAAAAGGAATGTTATTTTCTTTTAAAAAGTCCTTGTAGAGTTGAATTCATTAGTCCAGTTTTGTGCTAGCTATGACCTGATTAGGATATTCACATAAAAATTGGCATGTCTTCTGTGGGGTTTTTTTTTAAGGGAATTGTTATTCTCATAAAAATATATCACTTCAGATTGTCCTCACTGGCATGCTAGATATCATGTGCAAGGAGACTGCATTATGAATTTCATTGACTTTGTTAACAAAATTTTATAAATTTTACTGATACGTTAAGTGGCTATACTTAACAAATAGTACCTCTAACAGCATTTTTAAAAGATTTTTTTTATCCTGCCTATTATTTCTATAAATGTTCTGCCCCAGCTCCGGATTTCCGAGGATATTGACACACACCAACAGTCCTTATCAAATTTATTAAGTAGCAAGAATAAACAAGACCGGCAAAGGTTGGCAACCAGCCCAGAAAACAAGATATGATAAACCCAAATACTCTGATAATAAATATGAGTTGTTCCCAGCAAGAAAACACTAGCTGCATGCAACTTAAATAGGCTAAGGGAGTGGCCAATTATCCTCAAGCCCTATCTCGAGTAGACCTCCTCCTCCTGAGTAGCCACTCCTGCCTTTTGGCAGCCCTGCGTGCTCGAGCATTGAGGAGAGGCTCCTCCACTTCACTCTCTCCACTTGAAGGAACCTCTGGAGGTTCTGAAGGCCCTGGCTGAGTCTCTGCCTCTGGCACCACATCCTCTTCAGCCTCCTCATTGTCCGACGCAAGCGCTGGCTGCGCAGGCTGCTGGCGCGACACCACACCAGCCTCCTCTTCGTCGGGATCAGCCACGATCTGCGCAGGCCGCTGGCGGGCCACAACAATAAACAACTCAAGGTGGTGAACATACATAATATTCTTTCCTCCTCTTGCTTCAAGAGCAACCGCCCTATGAAGCAAGTTGGGCTGAGAGAGGCTGACTGGCCAAAAGTCACTCAGCCAGCTTTCATGCCTATGCTGAGACTGGAACTCACTGTTTGTAATTTCTAACCTGATGTCTTAACCATTAGACCAAACTGGCTTTATATTTATATATCTATTATATCTATATTTATATAGCAATAAATGCTCATTTCAGTTAGCAATAGCAATAGCACTTAGACTTATAGTGCTTTATAACACTCTCAGAATGGTTTGCAGTGTCAGCATATTGTTCCCAACATTCTGGGACCTCATTTCACCAACCTTGGAAGGGTGAGTCAACCTTGAGCCTGTCAGGATATAATTCCAGACTGTGGGCAGAATCTGCAGAACTCCATTCTAATCACTGTGCCACCAGGGCTCGTTACCTTAGAAAGTAGAACTACTGTATAGTAGCTGATTTTTGAATGACAATTGTACTTTCTTTCAGCAATTTTGTTTTCTCCTAGTTTTTTCACATTACAAAGTGAGCTTAAATTAAATTAAGTTAACTGCATGGTAGAAATCCAGAGATAGCATCACACACAGAATTGAGCTTTGCTGAAGATTATCTTCTTGCAACATCTCCAGGAATTGATTCTGTTACAATTAATTCTGGAATTTGTGAAAGAGAAGCTGCTTTCTATAGTTTTAATATTATGTGTGCACAATCTTAAGCATGTATACAGAAATCCTACTGAACTCAATAAGTAAGATTGTAGTCTTGCTTAAAATCATAAAATGTTAGAAAGATCTACTGGACTTAAACTAGTACCTTTTATCTATATTGATACCTAATCTAGGGTAAGTTTCTTAAATTTATCCTAAGTACAGAAAAAGAGGCTCAATCATAGGTTAAAAAAATTAATTGTCGAAAAGATAGATTAAATAGACAGGCAGGCAGGCGGGCAGGCTTGTCTTATGACCATATCAAAGAAAATAAAAGTAAAATAAAAGATCTATTTCCAGGATAAAACAGGTTAAAGAAAATACAATAATAAAATACATATATACTAAATACAAAAAATCAACAATCAAATAAATGCATCACCTTTATGTGATACCCTGATCTGTTCAATATAACAGAGTTTTAACTGAACTGTCTCATCTATAGGCTTAGCAATTCTGCTAAAATGTTAGAAGACAAGCTGCATTCCATTAAAAAAAACTAATTTTACTTCTCTCCTATAGAGATACATTGCAGATATCTTAGTGAAAGATGTCTCTGTCTAGGGGTGTGTATACTTTATATTTTGAAATTATTTGCAAATATTGCCTTCAAACGTGTGTAATTGCAGCACCTTCTCTGCTATTTATTAAAGAAGCTGAATGTTTCAGCTTCATGAACCAGAAAAAAGATAATGATCCTTTAAATAATCCTCTTAAATTCAGCAGCTTAAAAAATACAGAGCTTTGTTAATGAATAAATAAATGCTGCACTTTGCTTCTTCCAAGCAGTTTTAGTGAAATGATATAACAACCAAAGGTAAAGAATATCTCAGCAAATACTATTTTTCTTATTCTCTTTGTCTCTTCAGAATATGTTTGAGGCTAATCAGCAGCTAACTTACTGCGACATGTCATTCAGTGAAGAGGAAACTGTATTAAATTATAAAGAACATATGGAAAAAATCAGCTCGTTAAATGCTATGAATAAGGTATTTATTTAATTTCAAAAATGTTCAAAATTATCTTGGGAACAATAAAATTGTTTCTAAATGTAACAACTTCAGTCAGTGTGCTGGCTAGAATACACCGCAATGTAGTTTTGGCTTTCAAGGTTGGAAACAAGCACATATATAACAGAGAGGAAGATCTTAACAAGCTGAAATATTGTGCAAAATCCAGCACTATGAAATTTAATAGGATCCAATCAAAAATATGAGTACAGAATGGTGGGCACAAAACAGTGCATGAAAAGAAAAATCAGAGATATCTTTGTAGCCGATAGAACTGTTCAATTGTTTTGTGGGAACAGGTAAGAAACTGTAGGTTTAAATTACAAGAAATTGATTTTAATTGAACATGAGGAAAAAATTCCTACTGGGGGTGCTGAAACGAAGGCTGGATGGCTATTTTGGGGGGGGTGCTATATTAGTGGCTTTCAGCACTCAGGAGAGTGTTCAAATATATTATCTTCAGGATCCAACTCGTACATTAATATACAAATAATTTTTGACTGTTAATCCATATAGTAATATTTTGTGCCCACTAAAAAGGCACATTGATAATGCCTTAAATAAATGTAATTCAAAATTATCTGAAAGTCAGTAGCTATAGAGTAATCTGGGGTTTCTAGTGAAAATTTAGCTATTCTAAGTTTTTGGTTAAATGACAACAGTCCGACTAGCAAACCCGAAACTAAAACTTCATTGGATACACCATTTTGGTACTGTAGAAATAAAACCAGCTCTGAAGTTTTCCTGCGCAATGCTACATAAACATTAGTCTCCTCTCCTTCCCACCCATATGGTCATGCTGTTCAATTATGAATCAGTCTTTTGTTTTGAGAAAAGTTCATTTCTTTGTCGTCGTGCATTAGTGACCTTGGTGGGTTCTTGGCTCATACAGTCTATTCTTGGATCATCTGCATTCCTTCTCACACATCCCTCCCCCCAGTTCTTTGGCAGGTTGAATAACAATAAGTTTTCAGATGGTTCAGAAGTGGTTCAAATTTGACATTAAATAAAATTTAGCTAAGTTTATTTTTGACTCAGTTACAAAGAAGTTGAGTTTCCCCCTATTTGAAAGCATCTTCAGCTATTCGTTTTCCTTCTTACTGTCTGAAAGTTAATATGTTATTTGTTTAAATCAAGATGAAAGCCTTGCTTGTATAGAATATATCTTCCTAAATTAGCAAATCTTTCTGTGCAAAACACGTTTGGAAATCTGAAAAGCTGCTGTAAGCTAATGTACCACCACACCTTCTTTCTATAAGTATTTTCATGACTCGTGTACTGTAAATATATGTTTATATCTGTAACTGTACAGATTGAAAGCAATATTATGGGAATTATCCAGTAAGCTTAACAAAAACTAGTGTCTTAAATTCAGGCCAGAGAAATATTGACATCAAGTATGTGAAGAAATTACATAAATCTTAATTTTTCTCACCTCTGTGTCAAGACTGACTCACATTTTCACCTACATTTTTCCTTCACTCACAACTTGACAATAAAGGGGGTGGTGGTAGATGGAGTGCAAGGATGGGAAAATAATATCCAAGCATCTGTAGGCTTCTGTGAGACATTGCTGACATCTCAAGGACACATAGAGCAGATGTAGCAGCTGGTTCCCATAACAAAATGAACAGAAGTGATTGGTGGATGTATTGGACTATTGGTGACCCATGGGGAAAGAGAGAAATTAACTATACTTGCTATTGCATGGGAAACCCAGTGCTGATTTCGCTTCTTCTCTGCCAATGTGGTTTATTCTGTAAAGTTTTAAACTCTTGGTAAAATAATGTTCTATGAGTTTCTTTTTATGGACTCACCAACTGGACAGTTAACACTCTGATTTGGAGTACTTTTCCATAATTTTTTGTGGCTGACAAATTAATCAGTTGAGGAATGAAGTATTTATTGGGTGATATAGATAGAGAATTGAACACAAAAATAAATTCTTGTTTATAATACAGACAACCATTTGCCATTTTTTACATTCATGAACTTAAATCTGTTGTGAGCTCTCAAAAGAAAAATGTACTTCTGTTTTTGGTGCCAGATATAATGGTTACCTAGTTACATGAATCTGCTAATATTTTCCTTTATTCAATTATTTAATAGAATCATTCGTTCCCTTAATAGAAAAATATAGAAGAAAAATGTATAATATACTTGCAAGGCTATTGAAATGAGAGAAACAGTGCACTCAAATCAGGCAACAGAGCAAGCTGGATATTCTTGTAGATTGCTTCTTACTTTCCCTTGAATTTGCATATATATATAATTATAATTATAATATAATTCTCTTTTTGTAGGTCTTTATGTGTATTTTTCTCTCAGCCAGGTTTTTCCTACGTAAATCAAGATCTTTATACAGCCATAGTTCAGTGAAATCTCATTCACTAGTTTCTAGGCTTTATCAGACATCAAACCAGCATTTTGCTGTCTGTTGTGAGACTTAAGGGAGACTAAGATAGATTTTATTTATTTATTTATTTTTAAATTTCTATACCGCCCTTCTCCCTGAGGACTCAGGGTGGTGTACAGCCAAAATTAAAAACATGCAGTACAAATATTAAAAAAACAATTAAAAGATATATAAATTTGGCCCAATTAAAACTCACTACCAATTAAAACATTTAAAAATTTCTTCTTAAGCCAGCCCGGCTTGCTTGAAAAAATGGGTTTTAAGGGCACGATGGAAGGCACTGAGGTCTTGGATTCTCCTGATCTCTGGGGGCAGCTGATTCCAGAGGGTAGGTGCCCCCACAGAGAAGGCCCTCCCCCTGGGGGTCACCAGCCTACACTGTTTGGCTGATGGCACCCCGAGGAGCCCCTCTCTGTATAGTCAACTGACTATATTGGGATGCCGGGACAGGGGTTGCTCCTCTGTTCTGGTCCTGTTAGACTTCTCAGCGGCTTTTGATACCATCGACCATGGTATCATGCTGCACCGACTGGAAGAGTTAGGGGTGGGAGGCACCGTGTTATGGTGGTTCTCCTCCTTTCTCTCCGACCAGTCGCAGTTTGTGTTGGCAGGGGGGCAGAGGTCGACCTCGAGGCCTCTCATTTGTGGAGTGCTGCAGGGATCGGTCCTCTCGCCCCTTCTGTTCAACATTTATGTGAAGCCGCTGGGCGAGATCATCCGTGGCTTTGGGGTGAGATACCACCAGTACGCTGATGACACCCAGCTGTACATATCCACCCCAGGCCACCCCAACGATGCCTTTGAAGTGATGTCCCAGTGCCTGGAGGCTGTGCGGATCTGGATGGGGAGGAACAGGCTCAAGCTCAACCCTTCCAAGACTGAGTGGCTGTGGCTCCCGGCATCCCGATATAGTCAGTTGACTCCATCACTGACTATTGGGGACGAGTCGTTGGCCCCCAAGAGAGGGCTCGCAATCTGGGAGTCCTCCTGGATATGCAGCTGTCCTTGGAGGAACATCTGACGGCTGTAACCAGGGGGACCTTTTGTCAGGTTCTCCTGATTCGCCAGTTCGAAGATCCAGGCAAAGGAGCGAGTGGTCAGTCCATGACAAGATCTATTTCTGACTAGTTTGTCTTCTTCAGTCAGAAAAAAAACTACTCAGAAATAGATCTACCTTAGTCTCCCTTAAGTCTCACAACAGACAGCAAAATGCTGGTTTGATGTCTGATAAAGCCTAGAAACTAGTGAATGAGATTTCACTGAACAATGGCTGTAAAAAGATCTTGATTTATGTAGGAAAAACCTGGCTGAGAGAAAAAACACATAAAGACCTACGAAAAGAGAATAAAATAAATATTTGATCTTTACAGGGGGGAGACATGAGATGAGGGTATGGCTAACTGAAGAAGACAAACTAGTCAGAAATAGATCTATCTTAGTCTCCCTTAAGTCTCACAACAGACAGCAAAATGCTGGTTTGATGTCTGATAAAGCCTAGAAACTAGTGAATGAGATTTCACTGAACTATGGCTGTATAAAAATCTTGATTTACGTAGGAAAAACCTGGCTGAGAGAAAAATACACACACACACACACACACACACACACACACAGACAGACAGACAGACAGACAGATAGATAGATAGATAGATAGATAGATAGATATAGATAGATAGATATATACATACATACATACATACATACATACATATTGCTTTTTGTGTTTGCCTTTTCTTAAATATAAGAAATAAATATAAAAATTAAATTAGTGATATAAATTTATTTTTGGTATTCAGCAGCTCCATGACAAAGTGAATGAAATGGATTTTGAACTGAAATCTGTCCAGCATGCATCCAAGAAACAGGATCACATAATTCAGAAATTGAAAGAGATGTTAAAGAGCAAGGAAAATGAGGTTTGTAATTCTTTGAAGAATGAATACTAATATAGATCTAATGCAGTGGTGGTTTTCAAATTTTTTTACTACCGGTTCTATGGGCATGGCTTGCTTGGTGGGTGTGGCTTGGTGGTCATGTGACTGGATGGACGTGGCTTGGTGGTCCCGTGACTGGGTGGTCACGTGAATTTGTGGGCGTAGCTTGGTGGTCATGTGAATGGGTGGGCGTAGCTTGGTGGTCATGTGACTGGGTGGGTGTAGCTGAGTGATCATGTGACTGGTTGGTTGTGACTGGTTGGTCGTGACTGGGTGGGCATGGCCAACTTGACATCACTCACGTCAAGGGTTAGGGTTAGGGATGGGACTTACAGGAGTCCAACTCCCAAAGCGCAGTGCTGTAAAAGACTCTCTCCCAGGCAAGAGTAGCAGGGGGGAGAAGCAGCAGCCGCTGACCTGGAGAGCACATGATGGAGCCCTCCACCTGTTCTCTGGTGACCTGTTTTCTTTCCCCCGCTCTCTTGCTGGGAGAGAGAGTATTTTGCAGCACTGCGTTTTGGGTGCTGGTAAATCCAGAAAGTGCTCCAAATTATTGTGGTCCATCCAGACCTGAAACGGTAAAACCCCCCTTTCAACAGATGCCGCCAAGTCATTAGGGCCCATTGAACCATGAATGCTTCTTTTTCCCACATGGGCCAATTGCATTTGGTATCAGTCAGTTTCCGTGAAGTATTTCTTTTCCCCCGCGTCACGCTTTCAAAATTAGAAAGCTACCTCGAAACAGGGAGAGAATGCGAGTGACCGACCCTTCTCTTTTCCCACCTCCGTTTTTCTTGCTCGGTCCCCAGCTCTCACTCCTGCCATCCTCTTTTCAGCTCTCTCCATAGAGTCTGATGTATGCTCCCTAACCGGGTTTTCCTTTTTCCTGGTGTTTAGGTAAGAACCTGTTTGCTCCCATGTACATTTCTCCCAGGTTCTGCTGTCTTCTGCTGAACAGGGCTCCCGGTAATTTCGAAAATCATTAAAGGGCAGCAAATTATGCGAATTATTCTACACCGGTGTTTGTTAATCCATAAGGATTCTGTTTTATGGGTTGGTTTGTGTGATGACCCAGAGGTGTGACACAAAGGCAATAGAGCCAGAGAACTGATATGAGTCCCTTTATTATCACCAACTGTGCCCCTAATGTCCCTTTCAATTCTCCGGCCTAGAGAGAGCTCTTCCACCAACCTGTAATAGTCTGTAATAGGCTGATAATACTTCAATCCCAAACGTTGTAAACAGAAAACTTTCAACAAAAAATCCAACAAGGCAAGACAAGGTAATTAATCCAACAGGGCAAGCAAAATAGGGAATTCCAGAAGTGAAGTAGCACAGCAGTAAATCAAACCAGTTGGGAGGATGCCAGAAATTCAGATAAGCACCAGATGAACTCAGCATTTGTTCCCAACAACCGGCCCTCCCATTTGCCTCTACTTTTAAACTCCATCAGCAGCTGTGCCTTGTAAAGAGGATCGGGTCCCTTTCCTCCCTTGTAAGCCATGCAATGCACATTGCTCTCTTCTCCGTTCGTTCCTCCCTGCGCTGCCTAGGATGAGGAGGGGGTGGGCCTTGGTCTTCATCTGAACCCCCTCTCCTTTGTTCTCCCCTGCAGTCTGACTTTGCACTTCCCCAGTTTCTTCCATAGCCAACAGATCCACTCTCTCACTCTCTGTCAGCTCTGTCTCTTCCCCTTCGGATTCAGACTCCGACAGGGGCATGACAGTTTGGATCCTTTTTTAAAATTCATTCATCTTTTAACAATTGGCTATTGTCTGGGACCTCAATGAGGCAAATGAATAATTCTGTAGAGACCCAGCTTTCTCATCCTTTCTCTTTCTCTATTTTGTATGAATAATTTTATTAAAAGAAGATTGTACAAAGATTTTAAAAACTACAGAAATAAAAATATAAAAATACACACACATACACAAGTGGTACTGGTGAGGTTTTTAGCGAGCAGCGCAGGAAGCCAGACTTGCCTTCACAGGTATGTAAGCTTCCTCCAAATGGAAAAACGCCAGGAGCAAGCGCGTGCTTCTTTTCTCTCGCAGGGGCTGCTCAGCCAGGAAGGGGGGGAGGGGTGCCCAATGCGGAGCTCCGCCACGGTTCTTCTCATCTTTAAAGGCCCCTCACCCTGCTGCTCCCGTCAGACACCCCCTCCCCCCTTCTCAGTTGAGCAGCCCCATGCGCAAAATGCCGAAAACAGGTTACTTCCTGGTTAAAACCAGGAAGTAACAATGTCCGTGTGGGTGGGCTGAGCCTCTTGCTGCCGCCGCTACCAGTTCTCCGAACCACACACCACTATTGCTACTGGTTCGGCTGAACTGGTCCGAACCGGTAGCATTTCACCCCTGGTCCACCACCCAATCAGTGGCTTCCCGGTCCATTGTTGACACCACCGCCATCATCATGTCCCACTGTTACGTGTACAGGGGGCCATATCGGTGTGTATGGTTTAAGACCTGCCCCGCAAAAAGCGCCACCTTCTCTGGACTACTGTCAAAAGTAGCCTGCATGGTCGGCGGGTCCCAACATCCCAGTAGTACAGGACCATGACTAGCTGAAGGCCCTGTTTGGGCAATGGGGGGTGGCCCTCATAGCCTGGAGGGCTCTCCCCCTCCTCGCGCTGCCCATAGAGGTGCCAAGTGGCCCTAGACACGTCAGGTGTTAGTCGTTGGACTGCCATTCTGGTCCACCCCGTGTCTCGTACAGCCTGGTTGTGCTGGCCACCCAAAAACGGCTGGCAACCCCCGGATGCTGGGGTTCATGGGAAGGGTGGCCCACCACAGCAGTGCTCCACCAGCCACTGCCATGCCCCAGGTCCCTAAAACCAGCGGCCCCAGGCCCCAAACATTTCCTGCAGCAACTCTATAGTCTGGCTGCCCACTGCGGTGGAATAGCTCCAGTCATTGTCTGATATCTGCTGCTCCCGCCACTGAATGAAATGGGCCCCAGAAGGGGTAAGCAGGGGATCCGGAGGTGGAAGGGCCCTATAGTCCCCAGCAGGGGTGAAATGCTACCGGTTCGCACTGGTTCGGGTGAACTGGTAGTAAAAAATGCTACAGGTTCGTCCGAACCGTTATTTCCAATGATCAGCTGTGCCGCACTAGCTAATCATCTAATAATCTAGCTAATCTAAATCGTGCAGCACAGCTGTTTCCCCCCTCGCTGTTCTACTTACCTTCTTAAGCCTTCTTTTTCTGCGTGAAGCATGCGTTTGGTGCGCACTGCACATGCACACACAGCATGCATTTAGTGCATGCAGTGTGCATTTGGCAAGCAGTGTGCATGCATGCATGTGCAGCACGCATTTGGCACACACCATGCATGCGCACACAGCGAACCGGTGGCAAACCTCGAAGGATTTCACCACTGGTCCCCAGTTCCCAATGGGCCCAGCCACCACGCCTCTGCTCCACTCTGTCCAGCCTCTGGTCGCTCTTGGATGACTAGCAGCTTCTGTAGACCCAGAAGTTCCTTTGGCCAACCGGACCCGGTAAGGTCTCCAATATAGTAACGTCAGTTGTCGCTACCGATTCCTCTAAGTCCGCAGCCTCCAAACCCGGCACTGTACCTTCAGCCATGATGTGGTGGAATGAGCTGTGACTAAATTGTCAGGTTCTGGAAGGAAAAGAAGGATGCCAAACAGAATCCTGGTTTGCAACCTTTTTCTTTATACCTGAACCGGCACGAACTGACCAACACAAGTTTACAAGCAGTGAAGTGAAATCCTAGTCAGAGCTACGTGCTCAGTGCTCCCCAAAACCTTTAAGCAATATGCACCGCACCGCCCATACGTGCAGACCCAACCCCAAGTGACCCCTGTGGTGTTTGGAGCACAGGCATCCGCCTCCCAGCTGGGCTTGCCATGGCAAAGTGCTGCTCCGCAGCTCAGCTGTGATTTCGTCATCACAGGCAACTGCCTCTCGGCTGTTTGCATAGCCGCCAATGCAGCCAGCTGCAGCTCAATGTGCAGGTGGTTCTGTCCCGGCCATGTGTACCACTGATGCTGCCACTTCCACCTCTCAGCTGATTTGGGAGGTGAGTGTTGGAGGTGTGGATGGTTGCAGTTCCCGTTGCTGCATCCCCTGCCTAAATGGAAGCCCTGGGCCATTAGGCATGCTGGGGCTGACATGATGTTAATAAGTTATATTGACAATAAATAGAAAAATATTTCAACACCATTTTTCTTTCACTAGATTTCCAATCTTTAAAAATGCAATGATTGTTGACGCTCAGTAGGTATTCCATAAATTAATCAGGTGGTTTTAAGATGTCCTCTTATAAATAACTGTTTTTTATCTTCAAAAGGACATGTGGATTGAAATTTGATAGTGATGAGAAAAGTAAGGTCCTACATATAGGTAAGAAAAACCAAATGCATAAATATAGAACAGTAGTACCTGGCTCAACAGTAGCATTTGTGGGAGGCATCTAGTGGACCACCACTTAAGTATGAGCCAGCAGTGTGTGGAAGCTGCCAAAAAAGCTGATGCAGTCATAGGCTGCATTAACAGAAGAATAGTATCAAGACAAAGAGTACTGGCCAGAGGGCAGGACAAGAAGTAATGGGTGGAAGCTTGTCAAAGAGAGACCCAACCAAGAAGTAAAGAGAAATTTTCTGACAGTGAAAACAATTAATTAATGGAATATCTTACCTCCTGGGGTTGTGGGTGCTCCATCACTGGAGGTTTTCAAAAAATAGACTAGACAGTTATTTGATTGCGGTGGCCTTCCTTGATTGCGGTCCTGCCTTCTGATTTAACATTTTTATTGAGTTATAGAATATTGTAAAATACAAAAGCAAACAGAAAAGCAGTGGGGGGGGGGAAAGATAAGTGAGTTAAGATAAGAAAAAGAAAAGAAAAAGAAGTATTAACTTCTGACTCTCCCTGTTACAGTAAAATAAGGCATTAACATCAAATCACAACTTTTTGCTTTTTCATAATAATATGAACAAGCTATTTCTGTAAAGATCTATCAATCTACTTGGTAAAACCCAAAATCAAAGTTTCATTCTTTTCCACATCAAACACGAAGTTCAGAAGCAGTCTCCATATGGAAACAAAAGTACTTATGTTCTTTTCTTTAATCAAAGTAGTCAATTTTGCCATTTCAGCCAACGCCATCAACTTCTGCAACCAGTCCATAGTAGGAATCAAAGTTTTTGATTTTTGTGCATACAATAGTCTTGCTGCTGTCAACATATATAATAACAAAGTTCCAATTTTTTTCTACAATTCTTTTTTCATTAGGAAAAATTTTTTTAAAAAAAGGAAAAGTTCTAATTTTATTTTTAACTCCATTTTCAAAATTTTCTGTATTAAAATATGAATCATACTCCAAATTTTATTTTGCTTTATCACATGTCCATTATAGATGATAAAAGTCCCTTCTTTACCTTGAGCTGTTTGGGTTTTTCTCCTGTTTCTGGTATACTTTCTGATTTCAAATTGCTCGGTCCTGTTTCCTGTAGTGTGAAGAACTAAATCATGTAATTCATAACCAGAATGAGAAAATAATCAAACTGCAAGACATGCTACATAAGAAACAGCTTGGACAATTACAGGTATGGCTTTTACTTGAATTTTTTTACAAATTAATGTTTTTGTTTATATCTCTCCAAAAATTGGAGTTTATATTAATTTTTTTGAGTTTTACAAGATGATTAACCCTAATAATGAATGCTAAAGATATAATGTATACTAAAACTGTTTCCCATTAAATTCAAAATATGCCAGCTAAAACATTTCTAGTATTAACACAGATGATACAGTAATATATTATAAGATGCAAAGATCTTACTTTTCCCAAGGAAGTAGTTGAAATAATTGAGTACTTTGGAGTAACTCTTTACCTGCTTATAGCTAATAATTAAGATGAACAGATAGAACAATACAATAGTGATCTGCTGTCTACAGTTGAAAATCTGCAGCAGAAAGAAATATATTTCTAGTTTAAGAATACTTCAGGACTTCATAATGTTAAATTGTGTTTGAAAATGAAACAATTGTAAGATGTTGTAAGTCATCCGGAGTCACCTATGTGTGAGTTGGGAAGCTAAAAAGTATAAACAAACACAAACAAACAAACAGGCATCCAAGTTTATGACCTAATTCATCAGTATAAGGCTTTGAGGCATATATGGGTTGCATTATACAAGGGTAGGGAGAAATGTGTTTGGCTACAGCCTTGAAAATCTTAGCAGAATGGGGACAGGAGAAAAGAAGAAGGGGACAGGAGAAAAGGCAAAGAACACAGGAACATAGCTGCATATGATAATAGAAGGAGTCATGAGCCAGGAAATACTAACTCTAAATCTCTAGTTTTCAGTGATAGAGAGATGACATCTCAACAATGACATCTGTAGGTTCCAATGTTTACATAATTGCGTTCAGAGGATGGATAACAAACAGAAAGAAATAGAATCCTAAAATGGGAAAGCAACAATGATTTCATAGATATTTAAAAATGTAGTGAGATGAGAATCATGATTAGAAAGTAGAAATCAGAGAATATTTATTATTCAAAGAAATAGACCCAATATTATCACAGTAAAGGTTTCTCGACGTACAGCCATTCATTTAATAATCATTCAAACTTATGACAGCACTGAAAAAAGTTACTTATGGCTGGTCCTCACACATGATTATTGAAGTATCCCTCTGATTATGTGAGCAAAATGTGTGTGCTTGGCAACCAGCATAAATTTATGATGGTTGCAGCATCCCAAATTCATTTGGGGACTTCCGATAAGCAAGTCAGTGTGAGTAATTTGCATTCTACTACTTGGACTACAGCAGCAAAAATCAAAATCATGCATGACTCACTTAATGATCACATTGCTTAGCAACTTAATGATTGTATCACTTAGCAACAGAAATTCCAGTCCCAATTATCATCATAAATCAATGAATACTATGATCTCTGATGTCATTTATTATAACTCAGAATGCATAAAACCTATGATCATGTCAGCAATTTAATGATCAGTGATTGCCTAAACTGCCTCTGTTCTGTTTTCTACTTTTGAATCATTTTAGAACTTAGAGGGCTGTTCTTCATTACAACAGAAACAAAAGATAGCATTTCTTGATGTACAGAATGCTCTTTTCTTCACTCAGTTGGAAATGCAACAATTGAAATATGCCCAGCAGCAAAAGGATCGACAGTTGGCTGAGGCTAAAAGGACCAGCCACTTTCTAGAGACAGCATTGCAAGAAGAACAGCTACAGAAAGAAGCAGCTTGGAGACATAATAAGGTATGATTTTTGAACAATTAACTTTAGCAATAAAGGTGGAAGATACCTTTTCTGAATCATCTAGATCACAATCAGAGGAGAGAAACATAAACCATATTGTCAGTGCATAATCCTCCCAGTTAGAGAAAGGAAAGGAAAGGAATCTCTGTAGATTTTACTCCACTGGTTGTTGCCAACTATAGAAGGCAACGCTCACCTCCATTTTGAAGCCATGAGCCAGCACTGTCTGAAGATGTTTCTGAACTGGATGCAGTATTCTAAATATGGTCTCGCCAGTTCACTGTAAAGCAGTACTGTCACTTCTCATTATCATAATACTATCCCTCTGTTGATGCAGCCTAGGACTACATTGGCTCTTTTGGCAGCTGCAGCACACTGCTGGCTCATACTTAAGTGGTGGCCCACTAGGATACCTAGATCCCTCTCATAGTTACTACTGTTGATCTAGGTACTGCCTACTCTATATTTCTGTATTTGGTTTTTTCTGCTTAAGAATCTTGCTTTTCTCTCCACAGAACTGTATCTTGTTATTTACGGCCCAGTGTTCAAGTCTTTCATGGTTCTTCTGGATCTTGAGTCTATCTTCCAAACTGTTAGCAATTCCATCCAGCTTGATCATAGGCAATGAGTTCCACTTTTGTTGGGGTATCCTATTGCATGCTTCCCTCAGGTAGTTGTAGTTCCATTGAGGACTTCCATTTGCTGAGTATGATTGGTCAGCCAATTGCTAATCCATCTGGTGGTGGTTCTGTCCATCCTATATCTTATAAAGAAGTAGATTGTGGTTTACTTTGTCAAATACCTTGCTGAAGTTCAAGTATACTATGTGTATAGCATTTTGCTAATCCACTAATTTAGTTATTTTATCAAAAAAGGAAATAACATTTGTTGGGCATGATCTGTTTTTAACAAATCTACTGTCAGGGTTCCAAATAATATACCCATAACTAGCAGAACTCCGAGGCAAGCAGTTTGCTCAAAAAACAAGTTTATTGGATATATCATATTGGCACAGGCTGGTGAAAACTAAAGGATTTCCTTGATGAGGGTGTGACATTGTCCAGATGAGGGTTGTATCAGTCGGATCTGATGCTGGCTGAGTCATAATTTTTGACCACTCCCCTTGCTCCGCCCCTTTCATGCTCAGTTTAGACTCAGTCGGCCTGAGAGAAACATCTCCTACAGATCTGGCTATACAGCCCAGGTCTGTTCAATATCACAGAATTGTAAGTCTTTTTGACCACCTTTTTATTTCTCTAGTTTAAAATTGTTACTTCCCCTTTAAATTTTCCTAAGGTACCGGTCTACCAGGCTATATATATATATATATATATATATATATATATATATATATATATATATATATATATATATATTTCCCCCCTTCTATTGTAGCCTGCCGGTTTTGCCTTGCTAGAGCGTCCTAAGCTGCCAGGCTTTGCTTCGCTCCTGGCGGCGGCCATTTTGAAAGCCCCATTTTAAAAGGGAACTTTTTTCCTTTTTCTTTTTCCTGTCTTTTTTGGGGGGGATTTTTTTGATCTATCCCACCAACGATTGTTTTAAGGGGCCCTAGACCACAATACCACCAACAATAATAGCGATTCCCTAATTTTAAGGGAAATCGCCAAATCGGGCCGCCGCCCACCCTACAGTGATCCCAAAACCGTTGATCAGCTGTAGAGCGGTTAATTGAAGCGCCGCGGCAATTTTAAAAGGAGTTTTTTGCCGCTTTGCCACCAACGAGTCTGCAAGTTTGGGGGGGCAGCAAGCTTCTTCTTGCCTCTCCCTGTGGCATTTCCAGCCAGTATTTTTTATTTTTTCTCTTCGTGGCTGTGGGGGCGCTGAGGAGGTCCATTTCTAGGCTTGCCTAGACAGATACCTCCAGAGCAGAGTTTCCTCCTGCTCAAGTGTGACCTGGCAGCCATCGTGCTTAACGCCAGAGTCGTTGCCATCTCAAATTTCAACCACGTGGCGAAACTGAAACCAAAAGCTATTTCTCCAGTCGACATCGTGGTCGCAGTGAGTATACTAAAGATGGCAGATCGCTGTTCCCATGGGGAGGAAAATACTATGTACACTGGGAAGAAATCAACTTCCAAATGTAAGCACCTTTCTAAGCCTGAGAAGAAGGATTTAACAAAGAGGCATAAATCTCTAGAAAAGCAAGCTAGTGATGTGCCTGCAACTGAGCCTGGTAAGGGGACCCCCCCCATCTACCCCCTCCTCCCATTTCAACTGTTAGCCAGGCCTGGTCTTCGGAGGGAGAGGGTAATGTTCTTCAACAAGACCAAAGCAATTTGCAAAACCCCTTTGCAAGTCAATTAATGACCCCTGCAACTCCTGTATTTGGTGGGCATGCAGCTGCAGCTGCTTCAACAGGTGAATCCTCTATGCCTGTGCTAACCCCCGAAGATCCTTTAAAAAATGTGCCAGAAGGATTGAGAATTCTGATTGAACAGGCCATTGCTTCTAGAATGGCAGCCAATATTCATGGTCACCACTCTGGCTCTGCTATTTCAGAGCGATCTGCCCGTATTAGAATTTCTCCTGCAGTCAGTCTTACTGGCTCTCATTCTCCTGCAGCCTCCAGAGTTAGTGAAGCCTTTGTGTTTGAGGAAGAGAGACATTCTGACCTATCAGATGATGAGGGGATAATCCAAGATCAACCTGCCTTTACAGGATTATTTCCCCCCAATAAATTCAAGTCTTTATTGCATAAGGCTCGCTTAACAGCCGCCTTAAAGGAAGATGAATATTTTCAAGAGATGCAGGAGGCTCAAAAGGGTGGACTACAGGGACCTTTTTCTGAAACCCCCCCCCTGAACTTTGTTATGTACCAACTCCACAACTGTTCATAGACGTGGTAAAGAAACAGTGGGCTGGGCCTGCAACCATGGCATCTGCACATGGTTCAGATAAGAAATATTATGCTGTTGCTCCAAAGTTTGCTCAACTCTTGCAAGTTCCACCTGTAGACAGCCCTGTAGCGGCCCTTTCCTCTTCTTCTTCATACGTAACTGGGGATACTTCTGAAGGTCTAAGGCCAGAAGACAAAAAGTTAGAATTTCTGTTTAAAAAGAACCATCAGGCCTCGGCATGGGCAATTCAATCAGCTTCATCAGCCTCATTTTTTAATAGAACTACCATCCTTTGGCTTCAACAGTTACAGGCAAGGGTACCCCCCAGTGAGGTTCGCCTTCATCAGGATATTAATAAAATCATTGCTGCCACTCAATTTTCGGCTGATGCAACCTTGAATTCAGCCAAATTTGCATCCAGAGCCTTAGCCTCTACAGTTTCAGCCCGCAGGATGCTCTGGCTTCACCAATGGCCTGCTGACCTTAAGGCCAAATGGCGCTTGGCTGCAGCTCCATATTCTGCAAACAAACTATTTGGGGAATCACTTGAACCCCTTCTTGTAGAGACACGGGATAAGCAAAAAATTTTGCCCTCAACATACAAACGGGCTGAAGGAAGACCCTCTCCATATTACAGAAGGCCTTCTTTTCGTTCCTACCCCCAGGAGGGCCCTCCAGGCAGGAATATCTTCAGGGATCCTATCGATCCTCGGACCGTCAATATTTTCGGGACAGGAGCAGACAATTCCAGCCCAAACGGTCCTTTCGGGGTTCTGGTTTCCGCCAGTCCCGCAGTCGTAAGTGACTCACTACCAAATCCTCCAGTAGGGGGTCGCCTGTCCCTCTTTGCGGACAGGTGGGAAAGGTCATCTTCAGACCTTTGGGTTCTTTCAGTTGTGAAATTCGGCCTCCCCCTGGAATTTCTCTCCAGGCCTCCAACCCGCTTTCTTCAATGTCCAACTTCCAAAAGCGAATCCAGACGTCAATTAATGAACCAAGCAGTTCAGCACCTACTACAGATTCACGCCATAGAGGAGGTCCCCCACAATCAATGGAAACAGGGGTATTATTCCATCCTGTTCGTAGTTCCAAAGCGGTCAGGGGGGTGGAGAGCCATTCTGGACTTAAAAAATCTCAACTCATACATAGTGTATCGCAGATTCAAAATGTGTTCACTAACCTCTATTCTTCAAGGGATTCGTCCCAACGATTTTCTAGTTTCCATAGACCTCATGGAGGCTTATCTTCACATTCCCATCCTGCCAAAGCATCGACAGTATCTCCGATTCAGCTATGCAGGAAAGCATTTTCAATACGGGCTCTTCCCTTCGGACTGGCATCTGCACCAAGGGTCTTCACAAAGGTCCTGGCGGTGGTGGCGGCTCACCTGAGACAACAACCGGTAAGGATCCAGGCTTACCTGGACGATATTCTGATTCAGGCTCACTCTCAAGAGCAAGCCTTACACGACCTACACCTCACGATTCAAACCCTGAACGACCATGGGTTCTTGGTCAACTACAAAAAAAGTCAGTTAGTGCCAGTCACCAGGATCACCCATCTTGGCGCCATCATAGACGCAGCCCAGGGGACCGTCTACCTAACCTTGGAACGACGGTCAGACATCAGGGACCTAGTAGCTCTCATTCGCAGAACTCCATCAGTTCCATTGGCCACTCTATCCAAGCTCTTAGGCAAGATGGTCTCCTGCGTCCAGATCGTCCCATGGGCACACCTTCACGCTCGCCACTTGCAGTGGTTCCTGCTTCCTTTTCAAAAGAAACGCCAAGCTCACACCATATCAACAGTCAAAGTTCCACTCTCAGTCAGGCGATCGCTAGGTTGGTGGACATCGCCTTCTCTCGACAAGGGGTGTCTCTTCATGAATCACGACCGACTTGTACTCACTACAGATGCCAGCCTTCACGGATGGGGGGCTCATCTTGCATCACACGTGGCTCAGGGCCGTTGGTCTGCATCAGACCTCGCCAACCCTATCAACTGGCTGGAGCTGAAGGCCATTCGTCTCGCTCTCACGCACTTTCACCGGTTTGTGCAACACCGTCATGTTCTGGTGTTGACAGACAATATGGCGGCGAAGGCACATGTCAACCGTCAAGGGGGCACCCACTCAAAGCGCCT